TTGAATTTGATTCTCAAGTACTTTGACAATGTTTGCAATGTGTAGCTCAATAGTTGGTTGACCCTCAGTGCTGTCTATTTGCTCACAGTCTCTTATCAATTTCACATAGTATTCCCCTATATGATTCAAATGCTCTTTCTGTGCTGGGTATGTCATCTGTACATATTCTTGAATTGGTGAAAGCATTTTCAATACTCCACTTTCCTGATAGATTATAGCTAGATCAAGAAGTTGAATGACCAATATCTTTACAGAAGTATTCATCGGTGGGAACAGTTTATTGGCCTGTTCTTCCCACATTGGTACCCCATTAGGCAGATAAGACAAAATTGGTAGCAATTTTTTGCATTCCTTGTTTTGCCTCTCTAGCATTTGAAGAGACAAACCAATTGAAACAGCTACACTTGTGAGTTTACTTTCTTTCTCACCATTCTGCAGCATCTTAGTCTTGTGAGCCTTCCACTCTTCAACCAAAGTATCCAGCGTCAGCCTTTTCCTCCTCAGTTGTGCAATCAGAAGGATGGCCAGAGGCATACAATCCAGCTGTGTCAACAACCAATTTAATGTTTCAATATTCTCTTTTTTTGAATTGGAAATTAACATAAATGCCTGTCTGCCTTCATTCAACCCCAATGGAGGTAACCCTGAATCTCCTCCTAATTTGAACCAAACATTGGCTCCTGGTCCATCTGCTGCTCTCATGGTCAGGATTGCAGACACTTTCCTGTGTCTCAATATGACATTCACTATGTTCTGAACAGCTCCTTGATCACCAGCGAAATTCCAAGGTGTTTCAAAGTTATCCATCACTAGTAAAATAGAATTTGGAGAAAATGCAAGATATGTTTCCAGTACTTCATATCCAGTCTTCCCCTCTGGTACTGATAACTGTATTGTTTGAATCAATATCTGAATGAGACCTTGTGCATCTGAGCACATTTCACAAGGAACAAAGTAAATTTTGTCCTTAAATTTCTCTTTAACTTGCTCATTTTTGAGTATATGCAGTGCCAAGGCAGTTTTTCCCATTCCACCAGCTCCAAGAATAGCCAGGTGTGCTGGATTATCCTGGCACAATTTTTGAACTGCTTGTGCGAGCAATTCCTCCCGTCCTGTAAAGACACTAGGAGCGAGTGGAGTTTTCAACTTAATCTGCCTTTTCAATCACAATTACATAAACTGATTACTATCAAGTATCTGAAAGCTTACTCATATGTAATCACAGAGTTCTGGCCTGTGTTTGACCTGTTATCAGCATTATAAATAAACTGGCCACCATGGATGGCAAAATGGTGAGCTTGATTGAACATGAGCGGCAATGATGGAAATTGGAGTTCAAGATGTGATTGTCACACTGTAGCAAATGCATAGCTGTACTTGCATGCGTTGATGAACTATTGACTCTGCTTACATCAATTACAGATCCGATGTCGGAGGTTGGTCCGATCACACCCGCACCGGGCTAAGGGTCGGCACAAGTCCCGGTTAATTCTGGGGACTTGCAGGTAGATCCGTAGATTAACCTGCAGGTTTTTTGACCTGCGGCACACAGTACCTGCTGGAAACTTGGATCAAGACCAAAAGATATAATGGATATCCTGTGCCTATGAAAATTCTTCCAAGCAAAACTGAATGCAAAATTCTTTCAAGGCAGATATGTATGTAGATAGATATTAAGGACCACTCTGTTGGTCAGCACCTTGCTCGGTGGTGTAGATTGAAGTTGAACTATGTGCGAATGTGGGCCATCGGCTCTGCGCGTGACAGTCATGAGGCCGGACTGGGAAAATAAGAAAAAAGAAAAAACCAGATGGGCTGCCAAACTTGGTAAGGAGAAATGTGGCGCGAAGAACACACCAAACTGCTTATAGTAAGACTGCGCAAAGGGCACGAATTTGATAATCGAGTGGACAGCTCACAGTCCGAACCATTCCTTTTCTATGTTACTCAAGTAAAGAAGATAAGGTGTGCACGTACCAACAATCACTTGACACATTAGTGGGTCAACGCTCACACGTGGCGGTTTTTCTGGATCATTGAATGAATGCATACTAACCGAAATTATATAAAATGCAAAATTTAGATCAATTTAAAAGTTCCTGTCTTGGATCAGGCACAAAATTATCGCCCATCCCATGCACTGGTGTGTGAAAGGCATGAGAAGAAAAAAAAAAAGCTGTTCATATATGGAAAAACTGCCTTCCTCATGAGAAACACATAATGCCAGACCGCCCATAAGAAAGATTCCTTGATTTCATTCCGGCCTCGTGATGGTAAAGTGTTTACTCGTGCAAACTTCAGGCTCAGGCTCGGTCGGGGCGTCGCTGCGCTCCACTCACTCTCTTCGCAAGGGAGTACTGCATCCTCCATTGTTGCAAGCATTTCCCGATGTGTTGCGCAACAGATGGTTGTGTGAAAGAACAACTCAAAAAGGGGGAGAACAGTTTGGAAAATTGTGTACTCATGCATTGACATCATTTTCGGTGTCTGTAGGCAAGGTTCCGAGACTTTATGCAAGTCCCTATCTTAACAGTCGGTACAATTAACTTGTGCGGAGAGCTTGGCTCAGGTGTAGGTGATGAGTTCCTTCCGTAGATTTCTGATTCTCTCCTTTTGATTCCTGGAAATGATTGGGGGCGCCAGGCCCCAGGGAACGAGTACCTCGGGGTTGAGCTGCCATACCGGATAGGTAACAGTTATAAAGCAGGAATGTATGATAATTTTCTCACTCTTTTCTCTTGGGTGTCCACAGGAAATCAGGCTTATGTCCTATGTCTGTGGATGAATGGTCAATTCCAGTTATTTCAAGTTCAAAAAAGAGAGAGATAAGAGAGAGATTGAGCAGAGCTTTATTACATTTTACGCATCTTCTACAACTTTGAATTTGGCGTCAAAGGCTGTTGTACACCTCTGGTAGCCAAATTTAGATGCTTAAAAATCCTGGAATCCCAAGTCCTATGTCCCTTACATGGGCTTGGGCTTTTTCAAGATGACACTATTTTTGCGTGACGTTCAGTAGCGCTAAGAGCGCTTACCCCTCCTCTCCTGTGCTGCTGAGCAGCCCAAACACTGTTTCCGCCATTGGGCACCACTCTACCCAAATTTTGGACAAGTATTTCGGCTGTATAATCCAGAAGATTCAATATCCAACATACTTGATCTCCTTACAACTGCGAGAAACCCCAGGGAAAACCAAGAAAATTTAAGTGAAGGAAATTTTGGTGGGGAAAGACACATGGAATGCGGCTCGAGAACTCAATATATAATAAGGTGCTAGTGGCGGGTGGCTGGTGGCTAGTGGCTAGTGAGCTTTATATTACTTTTACTCTTTTTCTTTTTGTTGCTGATTTCATTGTCTCAGCTTCATTTTCTCATTTGCTGTGAAATTTGAATGTCCAAACAATGCCGCCCCATCCTCAAACCACTGCCCTGTCCTCAAACCACTGCAAATGTCCATCCGCATGCAAGGAAGATATGTTAGAGGTGAGACCAAGGATTGCTATCCGAGGAGGTAAGCAGTGATGTAACATTTGCGAGTAAGCAGAACACCGGCTCATAAACCAGTTATATTCTACAGTATCCAAGTATTGTACTTACAACGCATATAACTCCTCAATCACGCTGTCCTTTTCCCATAGAACTATGAATCACACCATGTACATCTCCGGCACCACCAACGTACACAATGCATGATCACCGTTTTCCTTCAGCTGTGCCCCTTGGGCGCCAAAAGAACTGTTGCGAATCATCACACTCAACTGGTGGTTAAAATTCGGATCTCGGGTCGGGGATACAACAAGACTGCCGTGGATAAACCCCACCTTCCCAATACGTTCACTCATGTAATCAATATGCTTCTGGCACTAACTTGTATCTAGCGCTCTGCTCACTTTGTGTCAACCAACTTTGAGCTGTGCTAACTAATCATTTAATGCTACTTCGAGTTGTACTTATCTGGCTCTGGGTGATACACCTGTTGCCTAAATCCAACATTAGAGCTTCAACCAATCTGACATTCTGTACTTGTGGGATGGGCCATTGCGCTTCGCATATGGCATGTACGAGTCCGGACACATACATAATAGGACAGGAATTGGTATGTATATGCATTACACTATATACGGTATGCGGTATGAGCATTAAAAAACAATGGCTTGATTGATGAAGGCCGTCAATTTCTTCACATGTGAATCAAGCAGCATGCGGGCCAAACAGGCTCCGCAGGAACTAAATATTGAGCCCGCCCGTACAATTTTCATGTCCCGCGGGCGGGCCTATTCATCCTACTATTCCCCTACCTATTTTCAAGCAATTGAGATACTCCTGGGCACAGAATGAGTGGATTTTTGAAGAAAGGTACATAAATGAAGGCAGTAAACTGTTTCCCGTTTCAATGTAACTGTAACAGGGCAGAATGATGACACATGCATGACACACTGATGTCATTGAACACTAAGATACTAACATTTATGGCTTCCACCACCATCTGCACTCCATCAGTGCTGGCCTATATTTTTACGGTACCCTGGATAACCCACTGGTTGGGTCTCAGACCTTTCTTTCAACCAAAATATGGCTTTTTGTGCAGATTTTTGGATTCAAGGTTCATAGCTACTTCAAACCTGGAACCGGACCTTTAGGTTCGGTCCAAGAATTTCATTGAATCGGACTTGAACCTGAGGTCCGGACCGGGTTCAGTAGGTTCGCGCACCGGACCGCGGCAACACCGTGGGGGTATGAAAATGTCGAAGGAGGTACAGGTAGGGTTTGTGGTGCACAGGTGATCAAGCAGTGGAAGTTCCAAGGCCACGCAATGAGAGCAGGATATCCCTTGTATTCATCCATGGATGGGGTATAGTATGTGCTGGAAGGGCTTAGTCCTGCTTAGATTATTTTTCATTGTATACATCTTTATTCAGAACGAACATGTCTCTGGTTTCTCGGTCGATTTACCTTAGAAAAAAAATTGAATGAAAAATTCAGATGAAGAAGACATCCATTTCCTTCTAGCCGACTCGAACGACTGACCTCGTCATCAAAGTAATATGCCACTCGCACGGTACTAGTGACGCGCTCTACCAACTGAGCTAAGAAGGAATTAGTTAACCCTAAGTCAATCTAAAGCTGGAAGATGCGACGTAGCCTCTGCCTCCAAATGGTCGCATAGAATATATGGAGAGTGGAGTAGGGATCGACAGTGATGAAATCACGAATCGATGGCCGATATAACCAAACTCAGGCATCTAACTCGATCAAGTAATAATCCCGTCAGGCGGGCTGGGAGGAGGCGGGCACTTTCCCAAATACGATGCACTGAAACTTGACGACAATCAAAAAAAAAAAAAAGCGACGGAGGTAGCCAATTTACGTATATAATTACATACAATTTGTTATGTGCCTACGTATGTAGAAAGAAAAAAAACACATCACCATGACGAGGGACGAAAATTACCTTCTCCTTGTCTTTCACAGCTAACGAACACGGAAGCAGACGAACCGGATGGCCTTCCATCCTGGAAGGCCGTAGAAATACACTTTTTGGGTACACCGCCGGCCCTACGAGAAGGAACGAAAATGCGAGGGAAAATTTTCGAAGGCGATTTTTGGAATATCAGAAAGGAAAACATGCGGCAATTCGAAGAAAGAAACGTGGTCGAGCAAGAGCCGAACGGGGATGCATACAAAGGGTAGCAAACGACGAAAGCCCCAAATGTAGAAGCCGCATGTTGAATCCTACACTGGAGGATAAATACTCCAAATAACGTGTCTGGTGATGGTGATGAAAGGGATTATATATCCAAGGGAGCTTGAGCGAAGCCTCAAGAGATATCGCGCGCGTGGGGGCACGTAGGGTACTTTGAGTAGAGTATGAGAGAGAGACGGGGGGCTAAAGAGGAGATTATAGCCAGATTGAGTGTACACTATAATATTTTCGAGGAATGTGACGAATAGAAAGCAATAACGATTGGAAGACGAAAAAAACCATGGGAATGGTATCCAGAATTCGAAATAGGCCCAGAGTTTTACTCTGCGGTATTCATCGCAGCATCGGTTGGTTCCTCCTCATCGGTTGTCATCGAATCCGGAGCCGGTGCGTCTTGTTGAGCTGCTTCAGCTTCTACAGTTTCTTCAGAAGCTTCCTTGTTGATTGGGCTTGTAGGGTTGGTTGGAGACGTCGAAAGAGATTGGTGGCTTCCGTTGCTTGAGGGCGAAGAGGCGTGAGGGATGCTGTACCAACATCGATCAGTACGACAGCCGGAAAAAGCAAACATAACAAGACGCACTTCTCAGGATTAGGGATAGTAGTACCAACTGATTCTTGGGACGTCACACCAGCTTTGGAAAGAGCGTAATCTCCAGAATCGAAGTATTTCCGATCCTGGACAATCTAGTAGGTACGGATCCAGCGATACCATTCCAATCTGTTTACATACCCTCTGCATCTTCATCAGCGTGTTCTTATGAGTGGGTAACTTTCCATATTTCGCAAACAGGAGCTGCTCTTGCTCGTTGAGTTTCTGTACCAAAAAGTTCAGGAGAATTCACGGAGGTGATCATAATCAAGACAACGTACACTGATATCGACCTTGTTTCGCTTCGCAGGGAGCATGTTGGCAGAAGCGGTGGGGGCCAGACGGCTGAATATACGATCAGAGGAAGGAAAGATGGAAAGGTGGTGGAGGTCAGCGGTTGAGTACTATAACGGCATGCGGAGTCTCAGCTGGGAGGCAATCCTCCTCGGCACAGCAATGCACCATTTTTGGAAATAGCTCCGGCCGCGACAAAAAGAGCCGAGTACTCGAAGCTTTGGGGGGGAACTGCGTATGCTCCTGAATGACTGGCACATGGAACCCTGCACTCAAGGGAGTTTTTTTCGGCCGTATTACTGGACTAAACGGGGCCGCGCTCTCTGTCCCTCAGACGATTCGTCTGGAGCTCCGCCTATAGTAGTCCTAGCGCCTGTATACAAAGCGATGGTTGTAACTCAATACGCACTCTAGAGGTTCCTAGACGCTTCTATGATTCTCGATTTAGCGATTTATCTTCTGACCGGTTCTCTTGGAGAAAAGAAAGGGAACGTCAACTCGACGGTCTTAAGTGGCTCACAAAAAGATCCCTCAGCGACAGGGCTCGAAAATAAGTGACTGTGATTCAAACAAACTATCGAACACTATTAACCCTTCCATGAGCCGCAGAAATAAATACAAAGGCGAATAACCATAAAGTACAGCAACCACCATTTTCGAAATCACGCAGGAGTCGCGGTCGGATATTGCCTTTTGAAAAAGCCTCGTCCGTTAGAATACACGTAAACGGTGAATAGGCCAGTGAAAAGAACCTACGTCCAAACTACCACAGTAGTAACCTTCGTCATGTACGGAGACACCTTGATGATACTGTCATAGACTTTCGTAGCCGTCAACGTCAAAGGCTCGTTTGTCGCCGTGGTGGTCTGTTGGGCAAGACTTTCCGGATCGTCGCGTTTGTTCTGTTTAGGATGAAAGAAGTCCTGTTAGTGGTCGACCGAGAATCGAGACAGATGAAAAATACCCCAACTGCGACGGCGTTGGCGGTTCCAACGACAGCAAGTGCAAGGAAGACAAGGGGCAGCTTCATTTGCGATTGGATATCAGGCGGAAACTAGGAAATTATTCGAAGCGAAATGGACAATCCTGGTCCTGCGTCGGATTATAAAGGTATTTTTAGTGCAACGCATCCGATACTGAACCAAAAAGAGACTAGTAACAAGTTGAATTGAATCAACCACGATTGTACGGGGAGGCTGGCTACCAGGTGTATACTTGAGTTTTTTTTAGAGTTTTTGGTTGCGTGATTGCGCGCTGTGCGCAGCGGAATTGTCTCTTCTTTGAATGGTAGTAATCGACTCGCCCGATATTCGTATCTTGGAACTGAACAAGCAAATATGCTTGCGCGACTGCGCTGTATCTCATTGAGTATACCCCGGATGTCGTTTGAAGAGATTCGAAAAGGTAATCACTTGCAAGATTTTGGGGTAACGCGTTCATAATTTCGACCAAGCTGCCATTTCCAGAACCAAGGTTGACGGTCATAGAGATCAAGTGCCAGATTGGTTCGAGGTATTGAAGTCCGAGCATCGGCATCTACCGCAAAATCCGACGAACGTCTATTGGTATGTATGAGCTTACCAGGGTATACCGGTTGGTACCTTGTCGCGAACAACCGCGTCGGAGAGCATTTGTACTACTGCTAGTATCCGTGCTGCGATGAAGAACTATTGCAAAACTGACATTTCTTCATTTTGCAAGATTAATCTCTTCAGTTTGTTTGGCTGTCATCGAGCCCACAGTTTTCCGTGCAGATAAATTAGTTGAATTGCTACTTGCGTCGTCGGTAAACCATGACTGGGACATGAGTGGAGTCAAAGTCAAGATTCAAGGAGACGTTCATGAGCGCCCACGACACGCTTTTAGCGCCTGTGATCGCGACCCCCATGTGACTTGACTGTTTACGCGTTTCCTTTTCTTTGCGACCACCATGTCGTCTCTAATACTCCCTACGCCACAAAATTTTCCTGCTTTTCCATATGCGTCTCCCTATCAAATTCAACTAGAGCTCATGCGACATCTTTATGAGGCCATTGAAGGGCGAAAGGTCACTGTCGTCGAATCACCTACTGGTACTGGAAAGACATCAAGCCTTTTATGTGCCAGTCTTACCTGGCTTAACGATGAGAAGGACCGGGCAAAGAAGGGAAGACTGGACGATGCAGCTACTGGGGATGACTGGGTTGCTGCTCAGACGCGTGATCGTCTTCGTCGGGAGCTGGAGGTGGAGGAAGCCGAGTACGAGAAGAGGTTGACTGATGCTAGGCGAAGAGAGGCACGAATGAAGAGTAATGCGAGGGTCTGGAAAAAGCCAAGAGTTGAAGAGAAGTCTAGTCATGCTCCTTTGGACGACGACGCGTCGTTTCTTCCTGAGGAAGACGATGGGGAAGATGAGGAGATGAATTTGTCTCCTGCAGTGAGAGCGCTTATGGCCCGGTATGTTCTCGATCAATCAATCTATATTCAGATAGCTCATCCCTAAGTCCCTACAGCATGAACTCCAGCAGTCATCACGACAAACCGGAACCGATGTGCACGAAAATTTACTATGCATCTCGAACCCACTCTCAACTGACGCAAGTTTTGCCAGAGTTGGGCAAGCTGAAGCTGCCAGAGCCCGTTGCTGTATCCTCTGTAGATCTTGACGCTTCGTCGCACTCAAGATCGAGCTTGGGGAAACGCAAAGCGCAGGACAGTAAATTGGACAGCGCGGAAGATGAACCAGACTGCAACACGAAATATTATCAATCTCGTGCTCTTTCTCTCGGTTCAAGAAAACATCTCTGTATTAACGACGAGCTTCGGGCGCGCGTCAGAGACATAGACGAGGGATGTAGGGAACTTTTGGCAGGTGAGAGTGTCTATTGCTTCCTTCTTGAAGCAAGTACTTATGTATATGATTCCGTGGTAGAGAAGAAAGAAAACAGGTGTTCTTTTCTCCCTCAGAACGAGGACGAAGTGAGGATGAATGACTTTAGAGATCAGATTTTGGTGCCTGCTTAACTGCTTTGTCTCATTCTGTTCGAGTGCTAACAGAGGTCGTTTGTTAGGCAACCCCAAAGGATATCGAAGATCTTGCCACCTCTGGACGTATGTCTGGTATCTGTCCTTACTTCGCTTCAAGGAAAGCTATTCCTCAAGCTGAGGTGAGTTCTGTATTCGAAAGCGGCTCTAGCGACAAAGAGTCTCATTTTCCTTCTCAGCTCATAACCCTTCCGTATAACCTTCTTCTGCAAAAATCCGCCCGCGAGGCACTCGGAATTGATCTGAAAGACCAGGTCGTGATCGTTGATGAAGGCCATAGTGAGTTGACGAAGTTCTAGGCGATCCCAAGGCTGCACTAATTGTTACGGTAGACTTGATTTCGACCCTTCTGTCTCTCTCGACGGTCCATCTTTCTCTTGCCCTCCTGCAGACCGCCTTGCACCAGGTCACCACATATGTAACAAAGTTTCGGAATAGACTCAACCCAGCCAACCTTGTCCAGCTCAAACGTTTATTAACGTTTTT